TCAATTTTTTTCACTGGGGCTAGTGCCCAAAGAGGGGTTGGAGGGAGTGGTGGAGAAAGAGTACAGTAAAGTCTTTGCCCCAAGGTTTGTGGCTTTGTCATTGTTTCAAATGAAATGCTCCCTAGCTGGTCTGGCACAGGACATCTGCAAAGTGGGTGTGGGGCAGTAGCCTAGGAGAAACTGAACATGCTTTCTCTACCCCTAGTGGGAAAACCAGAAGCTGAAAGAGGAGAAATCTTCAGAAAAACAAATTTTAGATATGAATAATTGACTATTGCAGAGAAGGAAAATAAGAGTCAAATATGATTTAGGCCTTTCAAGTTGATTCACAGGACACTAACATAACTTGTTGCGCAACAGAGGCAAATAAATAGCCCTTTCCTTTGAACACAGAGCACAGGTTTCATATTTCTTACATACCTTTTCTGCCAGCTTAGGCCATTAAACTTTACTTTGAACCAGCTCTAGAGTTTTCTCTTGGCTCAAGTGTCCAAAATCATAGAGTGCTTGAGCTTGGGTAGCACCAACTGTCTTCTTCTACCTTCTGGTCTGGGCATACAGTTCCAACTTCTGCCATTCTTTCAACAGTAAAGTGCCCTCTTGGTAGTGAAATGTGAGTTCCTCAGTTCACATCTTATTTTCTTGGCCTGCATCACTTTTCACAGACCTTCATCTTACAGATGCTCTCACCATCAACCACCTAGGGACAAGCAAGACAAGGGGGACTGATTCAACATTAAAATATTTATACCCACTGATGACACACTCCATGGGAGAAGTCTCGAGTTCTCCACTGTACTTCCCTGGGTTAGTAGCCTGGCTAAATGCATGCCAAAGATTATCTTCATCCTCCCATACGAATTATAGGTATTATCCAAGATTTCAGTTGCTTGGGTACTGCAAGATAGGGCATCTGCATTGACATTAGTTTTTCCTGGTCATTAATACACTCTGAACTAATGGTTGGCCAGTGCTGCTAAACCACCAGGGCTGGAAGTATCCAATGTAGCACTTATAAAATAAATCTGTCAGTGGATTACTGTCCATCCATGCTTAGAATGCATGCATGCATACATACATACATACATACATACATACATACATACATACATACATACATATATAGTCTCAGAACTTTTCTGTGAGAGCCCACTTCAAAGCCAAGAACTGTAACTCATAGATGGGATAAAGAGCCTCACTTCCAGTGAGTCTACTTGCAAATGCTGTTTGTATTTCTTCTTTACTGGCTTCTGTTGTTCATCACTTTCTTTGTATGAAACTGCTCCCAAGCACCCTAGGCTCATTCACATGGCACACAGGATTTCCTCAGATCTGCAAAACCAACCCTAGAGCTTGTGTAAGACAGTTATCCCAGTTCTTTAAAGGCCCGCTCAGATTTCTCATCCCAATGATGTACAAAATGTGAGAGAGAGTTCAGCCTATGTTGCCATTTTTTACCCTTTTGTTTTGGGTTCTTTTCAACCATATAACTATTACTATCAAGATATTTCACATCAATGATACAGTTTTCACAAATTTTCAATAGTTTGAGTCTTAGAAAATTCTTCAGCTCTGATAAATTTTTGGGACTAGTTAGGTAACACATGTTTTTGTCTTCTCAGGTTTAGTATTCACTTCCTACTTAAACATTATACAACCTGCATAATTAACAAAAGTTATATGGAACTAGGCAGAACTGTCTGGTTAGGTGAGCTTTCACCATCAGTGACCTTTCCTCGTGCTCTTTCAACATCTTTCTAAATATGATGTGAGCATCTAGATATAATAAGATAAAATAACCAGATAAAATCTACAAAAAGTTCATGTCATTAACCACCATTTTCTATGAGTTATTCAAAAGAGGCTGGATCCCCAGAAATCCCTCAGCATATGTATTCAAACTGCTAAAATCCCATTAAGCAGACAAAGACCACTTTTTTTTTAAAAAATCTTCCTTTGTCACGGGGATCTTATATTTCCCATCCTGCGTGTCCAACAATGAAAACCACTGACTTGCCAAGCAGATAGGTCAGGATATTTTGAATGGGATGTACTAATCTCATTAGTTTTTTTTCTTCATAGTCCAATAGTTCACATAATCCAGATCTTCCAAATTTTCTTTAATTTTACTACTGTGGGTTAGGCACATGAACTACGGAACTCTGTGATGATGCTATTGATGAACAGTTCCTTCTGGTCCTCCCTTTTACTGACAGAAATTTTAGAAGGGCTAGACTTTGTTACTGTTACCACTGGGTCATTCAACAACTACTGAGGAGGATATTGTCACTAGTCACTAGTGGGCTGCTAAAAGTTTCTCCCCTACTAGCAGGATTTGTACATTATCTTCAGCGTGTCTTTTAATAACCATGAAGGCTTTGAACCTGCTCACAAACTCTTTCTCAGCAGTAGCAGGTATAGAAACTACCTTCCAACTTCATTCACTATTCCTTCTCCCCTCTATGTACTTTTTGGGGACTGTGGGAATGCCTCACAACTTCCACTGCAGAAGCACACTGAGCATTCATTTCCTCCCCTCAAACATCCCTCTTTTGGTAATATTAAAAAATCATATCTTCTTAGTGTCTTTTGCTAAAGTCCTTTGTCTCATATGAATATAAACCTTTTCTGTACTTAATTCTGATGAGACAATGTCCTGCAGTGAAATCTCTTTGGCTTCATTTTTATGAAAGTCTTAATCAGTTTCTGAATGGAGAGGCCTGTTTCACCCAGGAAGGATTACTTCCTGAAATTAATTTAAAAATAAAAAATAAAATTAAAATAGCTAACATTTCTATAGCACTTACCATGTGCCAGGTACATTTACAGTTATTATTTCACTTTATCCTTAAAACAACTCTGTGAGGTAGGTGCTATCATTATCCCTATTTTACAGATGAGGAAAGTGAGGTTAAGTGATTTGTCCAGGATCAGAAGCTAGTAACTATCTGAGGCCAAATCTGAACGCAGGTCTTCCTGACTCCAGGTCCAGTGCTGTATCCACTTAATTAATTAGGGTAATGATCAGACTAAGAGAAGAAGCTCTTTGATTAACTCAATCAGGAGCAATCCCCCTCTCCTCAACTGCACGATTTTAGGAAAATAATTCTCCAGGTTCTCTAAAAGTTGTCTTTTTTATTTAATTTATCAAAATTGCTACCTACACTTAGTATTCCTGTTTCATCCTGAATATGGATTTTGTCCTAGTTATTGAACCTTATAAATTATAACTAGAAAATGGCTTGGGTCAGAGAGATTTGGGTTAGAGGGTCTTTGGTCCATTTGAATTTCTCTCTTTGAACAGGGATGCTTAGAATTGTAATTTAATTAATTAATGAATTTGTCTTGACAGGCTTGTACCAAAAAATGAAGAGTACTAAAGTTTTTCTTCCACATCAGCAGCTTACACAGTAATCTAATGCTTTGCCTTCTTTCCTGTATATCTTACTTAACAGCTAAGGTATCCACAGAAGCACTTAAAGTCCTTAGTATTATTAACAGTACAGTCAATAGATGCTTCCAAATTCAACTGTCCTCAATGGGGGTCAAGTTCTAATACTAAGCACCATTTATCCAATAACTAAATAGCTATGGTGAGGCTTCAATTCCATCCCACCTCCATTCACAAGTATGAAATACACAATGACAATCTGACAATGTCACTTCAACATCTACAATTATGAAGTATACTTTAGTAAGAGACAAAAACTGTATGACACTGATATACAGTAGTATAATGGTTACTTGAATCAATTTGCCTGGTCTGTAGTAGAATTTGTACAGTAAAGTGCTGTCAAATTGCATCTTAAACATTGAGAAAGAAAACAATCCCGAAAAAAAAATCCTTTCAATGTAGCTCACCATTTACATAGGTTACTAACATAAACAATTTGCTCAATGCAGGGTTATGGGGACACTGGTCCTAGCAATTTACACCTTGAAATATCAATGTAGCCTAGACTCTTCCACTATGAAAATTCTTTAATGTTCCCTTGAAATGGAAATACTACAGCAGGTGATTCTACCTAGTGAGCTAACCGTTGCTACAGAGATTTTTTTTTAAGAGAGAGACAGTTCAAAATCAGCCCTGTCTGACATTGAATATACAGTATTGCACACTTATAGTTTCCTATCTCTGCAAGGAAGAGAAGGCATTGGTCATTATAATCACACAATACTCAGTTTCATAGCACTCAGTCTGCAGGCTAGGTATTGTGGGATCCCAGGTTAAGGGATCAAAGCTAGTCCACCCCCTCCCTTTTAAAGAGGAGGAAACCAAGACCCCTAGGAGGGTGACTTGCCCAGGGTCACAAGGTAGCAGGTGTAAGAGAAGATAACACTCATATCACACCTCTGTCATTTACTACCTAGGGACCTTAGGCAAGTCACTTGACCAAGGCCTGGAACTCAATTTCCTCATCTATTAAATGAGAGGGTTAGACTAAATAGCCTCTGAGATCCCTTCCAGGACTACCCTGATGATTCTATGAAACTGGTTCTGCAAACTTAACACTGCATCATCATAGAAGTCTTCCCATACTTCTCTTTATTCCTTAGAGAGCATCTTTCCCATTCCATTCATGTACTATAATGTGCTTCAGTTATTCTCCAATCATCGCAGGCCGGGCTTTTTAAATCTCCCGCCTCCCAGAAGCCTTTTCACCAATCAGAATCTTTAGCCACTCACTCTGTGGCCTCTTGGGAAATGGAGTCCAAGCAGTTTCTCCCAATGAGCATGCTTCATGGGCTGCCTGGGAAAGGAGGTCTTGCAGACTTTGCTTCGTCTCTACGTGAAAAACAAGAGAGCTTGGCTTAGGTCGTTCTCTAGTCCAGCGCCGACATTCTACCTTCTAAGCCTTTTTTTCCCCACGTCACACTCGGCGCTGTTCTATTACTCCTGCCTGGCCCAAGCCTTTGGTGGTTCTGGGATCGAGTGCTTCTGCCTGCGCGGGAACGCCCTCCCTCCGCCCCCGTTTCTCTGGTGGACTCGGCCATCTTTTGCTTTTGCTTGGCAACGTACCCCGCTGTGTGCTCGGCTGCGCTCTCTCCCTCTCCCCCTCCCTAGCGACGAGTCGAAGCCGCCCCTGGGATCGGCGCGCACACACCTCTGGCCCCTCTTGACCCTCCGCTTCTGTTTCCGTTTCCGGTTCCTCGCGTTAGCCGTGCTGCACTCGTGGTGGGGGCTGCAGGAGTTGGCTAGGGTGTCTATTGTGGGGGTCATCATGGCAGGAAGCCGGCTGGAGACCATCGGCACTGTCTTTACCCGGTGTGTGCGCGGAGAGTGCACGGGGCTCAGTCTGCAGGGGCCAGACCCAGGGCGGGGTTGGGGAGTGGGATGCCTAGGCTTCCAGAACACCCTCATGGAGAGGAGGGGGGCACCCCCTGGCGCTTCCTGGTCCGGAGTCGGCGGACACCCTCGTGGGATGGCAGTGCTCTTTCTCTTGGAGCCGGGGTCCATGGTGTCTGGTCCCCGTTCTGTCTCTAGCTAGTCCGTGCGCATGACCTTGGGCGAGTCACATCATCTGTTTTGGCCTCTGTTTCCCCATCTGTAAAATGAGCGAGTGGTTGAGAGGCATTATGATACCGTGGAAAGAATTAGAAGACTTGGCTCCAAATGTTGTCTGGGTCACTTAACACTTTTTTGACATTGGTCAAGTCACTTCACCTCTTGACCTCAGTTTACATTTTTCTAGAGGGTGTGGGTGTACACTAGATCGAGTTCTTAACCTTTTTTGTGTGTGTGTCATGGACTCGTTTGAAGCCTGTGGATCTTTTCTCAGAATTTTTTTGAGGCAATCGGGGTTAAGTGACTTGCCCAGGGTCACACAGCTAGTAAGTGTCAGGTGTCTGAGGCCAGATTTGAAGTCGGGTCCTCCTGACTTCAAGACCAGAGCTTTATCCACTGTGCCACCTAGCTGCCTCTCAAAATAATTTTTTTAAAAAATCAGTGAAAGGAATTGTTATATTTCAGTTACAGGTTGGTGAACATAAAGACATTTTTTTCCCGTCCAACTTCACAGACCCTTTAAGATCTCTCCAAAGACTCTAAGTTAAGAACCCTTAGGCTAGATGATCCCTGAGAGCCCTTCCAGGTCTGTGATTCCTAGGTGAACTCTTGAGGGCAGGAGCTGTTTTTTCTTTTCTTTGTATCCCAGCATTTAGCACAGTCTTGACACACACTAAATGCTTAATAAATGGTTGTTGATTGATTTCTAAAGTTCCTTTTGAAATCCTATGATCTTGGGAGATGTTTGTTGTACTTCTTACCACATAGAGAGGTAGAGGGATTAGTTCCCTGACCCATGGATCTTAGATAAGCCCATGGCTCCTCAGCTCTTGGGGCTGGGGTGTGTGGCTATTGCTTGTGACAAAAAGTAGCCCCTGGGGTCTTTTGCAAAACCCACTTTTGGGCAAGCTGGTTCATTCTTTTCCCTTAAGGACTCGGAACCTGATGCGGGCTGGGGTGATGAAGGAGAAGCCCGTGTGGTATGATGTGTATGAGGCCTTTCCACCACTGAAGGAACCTGTGTTCCGGAGGACCCGCCAGCGCTATGGCAAAGCCAAGGATCTGGTACCTGAGATCCTGTACCAGGAAGATCGGATCAGAGCGTGAGTGATTACACTGCTCACCCAGGGAAAGGAGATGGCAAAGCCCAGGAGAGAACCACTGAGTTACTACTTAATGAAACCATTCAAGTAATAGTAGATAGGAACTGGAGCTCAAAAGAGAAGAGAATTGAGATAAAAATTTGCTGATCCAATCTCAGACTAGGAAATCAGTTTCTTTCTCTATAAGAAAGACAGAAGGCCTAGAAATGAGGAGCTAGAATCAAGCAGCTGATAATTAAATGAGCTCTACCTCCCATAACACAACAATTCTAACTAAAGTGCCAAGACATGCTCAGAACCTTTCATTCCATCCTTCCAAAAAGGGCCATATGGCCATTGAGTAGACACATGGCAACTGGGATGTAAATTTAGAGGACCAGGACCAAATTTTCTTGAAGTCTGCTAGCCAACTGGGGAGCTGTCAGCAACTGCCTGAAATAACTTCTGTAGTAGTGATATGAGACATTTATTGTAACCACATTCACTCCTCTTAATCACAGCTTAGTAGATAGGAGTGTTTAATTGGCAGCTTAGTGAAAAAAACTTTCTCCCTTCAAAACTTATTGTTTTGGAAAATTCCTGGGAACCATATAGCTCCTTTTCTCAGAAGCACTGTGACCTAAGGTCTTGCTTCAGTGAAACCATTGCAGGACACCTCACTCATACTCCTTGTTTCTTTGATCTAGGAGACAATGACTAACCATTGTACTTTAATTTTATATGTCATATTTCTTTTACTGATAAGGCCTATATACATAAAATCTCATCCGTCTTCATTTCTGTAAGTCAGAAGAACAGGGATGTTCCATCCCTACTTTGAGAAAATCATAGGAAGGAACTAGAGAAATTTGGTTTTATTATTTGGGGTTTTAAATAGTTGGCTCTTCAGCATTCTACTGGGTTCCATTGCACTTAATTTTTTAATACAATAATATAAAACACGTACCTGTTAACCAGCTGTTGTGTGCCAAACACTGCTAGACACTGGAGGGAAGCAGTTTTAATTAAGAGTCTCTATGGTTCATTATACATTAAGGGATTTTTGCCTGTTGATTTTGTGGAAGACAAAGGAGCAGGTGACATTTTAGGGGAGTATTGCAGATTGTCCCTTTTAGCTCCTGATTTTTACTGAATGTCATTGTTAATAATATTAACATCATAATACCTTGCAATTATGTAGTGCCTTTATATTTTCAAAATGCTTTGTCATGTAGCTGAACACCAAGAGATGCAAACTGCCAGCATAACTTGAAATGTTTCTTTTGCTGTCTGTAGGAACTGACAGCAACATGTGGGCTGTTTTGTGTTGTTATATGCTTCTCAAAGGTTGAATGATTATTTTTCCTCATATATCAGTCATTGACATTGACATTGATTTCTAATTAGAGATATAACGCTTATTTTTATTCTCTAGGAAATACTATTCAATTTATGGATCTGGTCCGAGAACTTTTGATCTTTTCAACCCAAACTTTAAATCTTCCTGCCAAAGGTAAGAGACTTGTATGTGTACCAGTTCACATTTAATAATAAGTCGTTTGGCAGTGTGATGAGCTTATTTGTATGAGTTTCCCTTAAGGGAAGAAGAGGTTGGGATGTTTAATATTGGAATGTTTAACAAATATGCTTGGTGTTCTTTAGTAGCTGAGCAAAGAAAGTATAATTTCCTGGCACAGAAAAACTGTAAAGGTGCGTATCTGAGAGGGGACTGCTTGGACTTTCAGATTTGTGGAGAAGTATATTGAACTACAAAAAAAAGGAGAAACAGATGAAGATAAGCTCTTTGTGGAAACAGGAAAGGCTTTATTGGCAGAAGGCATTATTTTACGACAAAGAGGAGAAGGAGCGACTGTAAGTATCTCATACTGAGCTTGGGTCAGTCCACTGTCAGAGAAATCAAAGAAGATCTAGACCTCTTCTCCACCTATACTTCACTTTTTTCCCCCAATCACTGGTTTCACTTTTAAACCACAGGTCAAATCCTGTTACAATAAGTGCCAAAGAATGTATTGGAGTATTATTGTTTTGAATATTGCTTGAAAGATATGGGTCAGCAACTGGGGTTGGAATGTAATGAATGATATTTATTTTAGTGGGGTTTGACCTCAAATATCGAAGCTTTGATGTGTTGTCTGTATTTAAGGCAGCTCTTTTATAAACCTCTACCTCGTTAATGTGGGTAAAAATGTCAATATCTGTGACATACATCTGGTATTGCTGATCTGTCTTTTTAGCATTTAGGGAAGTCAGAAACCTGAAACAAGAACTTCACATCAGAACTATATTGGAGGAAAAGCAGCATAACCCTGTATGACCAGCCTTTGGAGTTCACTGAAGAGAAGCTGAAAAATCTGTTTTTTCACCACTGAATTATACTTTTGCATACCATCAATACCTGATCTCTCAATAACCATACACAGTAGATCAGTGTTGAATTTCTTTTTCGTGGTTGAACTAGGGAAATATTTCCTAACTTTTAAGTATTTACACTTGACTTTTGTATATTCACCCCTCTTTAGGGGTTTTCATTAAAGCCCATAACCTGGCAAGCTGTGAACTTTTATGTTGTAATTATTGCTTAACTATAAAACAGGTTCAATCTGAAACTATCAATAGTCTGATTAAATCCTCATATATAGGCTCATACTGTTTTTAAATGGATTTTTTTTGCCATGCTTGGTTGGATTTCAGTGTTAATTTGTAGATAGAATAAATTTTGCTCTTTGTCTTTTGATCAGTTCGTAATCTGTCAATTAATTGTTCGTATGGATTCATTGTGTTCCCATGACAGATTTATCACTCTCCTCAAATGATGCTTACTGTATTTGTTGCCCTAGCTATCTGCCTTCTTTGTGGAAGACCAGGCTGACATGCTTTATAAAGTAATAGCCAGGGAGCTGAGCTCATGGTTGATTGAGGCTGGAGGCTTTAACTATAATTCCTGTCTCACGAAAAGGGGTTTGAAGAATACCAGTCAGTCAAAGATTGAATTTAGACAGTGTCCTTGGAAGCAGTCCAGGCAGAGAGAAAGGGACAAACTTGTTTGAAGCATACACACAAACTCCCAGCTCCTAAAAAAGAAAGCATTCCACCCTAGATTTAGCTGTTTTACTGTGCTAAGGATGTAACTTTTGACCACGAAACTTTAGTCCAAGAAATATGTTTATAAATTTACTTCTTGAACCTCCTCATCAATTTCCCACACACTTACAAGCAAACAGAATGCTATTTTGAACTTACAGTGATTTCCCTTGTTATCCTGTAATGAAATTATTCAGGAACAAATGAAAATATCTCTCATCCTTTCAAAAATCCATCTTAAATTTCATCTGCATGAAACTTTTCTTGTTAGAGCTTTAAGTGAAGAGGAGTGAATTTATTTTCTTCAATAAACAATTACTGTAATAATGCCATAAAAGTACTAGTGCCAAGCTAAATATGGAAAGAAATTAATAAGAATGTAGAAAAGATAATCTTTCCCCTCAGGGAACTTGCAGTCTAAAGGAAAAATCAAAACATAGAACTAATCACTTTCTCTAGGATGCAAAGTTTCTGGCTTTCTCTCGTAAGACTTTCTGTTGGTGAGTATCTTGATAAAAACAGGCTGGTAGTCTTATGGTGAGGAATCTTCAGGCTTGGGGGAGAGGCTGACCCTGAAAGCCATTCCTGTTATCTACAACACAATTTTGGAAAGAAAAAGAAAATGAAATGTTGGCTCCTAGTTGTTTGGTTAACTCTTTGCTGCCAGGGCAAAATTGAAAGGGCAGTTTAACCTGGGAAATTCAGTACCATGCACGCATCCAATTTGGGCAAAATTAATCTGATACTGAGTGCATGTTATGGGCGTTAGCACTCCAGTGTACGCCACGGAGGACACTGAAGTGTAAAAGGTCAATTATTAAGTAGTAATCATCAGAATTACTTAGTACTGTTTAAAAATTGGGAAAGTAGATCATTGGAACAGACTCAGTATGCAAGAATCAATGACAGTTGAACTCAACATAATTAGTAAGTATGTATGAAGCACTCACTATATGCTAGGCCCTGTGCTGAACACTGGGGATACGAAGAAGAGCATGAATATGGTCCCTGCACTCAGGGAGCACCTAGTCTGTGGCGGAGTCAAGATTCAGACAGCTATATATACAAGACACTGTGTGAGGGAGAGAGAATCTCAGAGGGAGGGTAGAGAGGGGAAAGGCCTCTCGTGGAAGGGGGGATTTGAGCTGAATCTTGAAGGAAACCAGGACACATGCAGAGGGAGCACATTCTGGACATGGGGGAATACAACAGTGAGGGATTCCCTATTTGATAAGAACTAGCAAAGCTGAAAGCAATTTGCCAAAAAATGAAAGGTTTTAACCAGTGTCTTACACTGCACACAAGTTCCAAATGGATATTTGACTGAATTATAAAAAGCACTTCATTAAAAAAGGTAGAAAATAAATGGGAGTAACTGCTATGCTCAGCAGGAAAAAAAGGGAGAGAAGAGACCAAACAGTGAAGAAGTATTAAGTGTTTATTATGTGCTGGGTATTGTGACAAGCATGGGGGATACAAAGAAAAGGCAAACAATCCTTGCCCTCAGGGAGCTTATGTTTAAAAATTTATTTTTTTACAAAACCAGAATTTCTGTGAAGATTCTTCTCCCCCATCCCAGAGATCCATCCCATATAAATAAGTCTTTTTAGAAGAAAAATAAAAAATCATTAAAGCTGATCAATACGTTGAAAGAGTCTGAAAGTACAAGCGCCACTCTCAATGGACCTTCCACTTCTACAAAGAAGCAGGGTGAAGGTGTCTCCTCATATGGCTTCTTTGGAACTGAGCTTGTTCTTTGTAATTTCGCAGCATTCCTTTTCATTGCTTTGTGGTTGTTCTGTTTACGTGGTTTTGGTCATTTGTGTGTATTGTTTTCTTTCCTCTGCATCAGATTGCATAAGTATTTCTATGCTTCACATTCATAGTTATCATTTCTTGGTAGTATTCCAGTACATTTATTTACTGCAGTTTGTGTAGCTATTCCTCATGATAGGCATCTACTTTGCTTTCAATTAATTGGGGAGCTTACATTCTAATGGAAGAGACAACATGTACATGAGTAGGTACCCTACAAAGTAAATTATGTACAGAGTAGATGGAAGGTAACCTTAGAGGAGAAAGCCTTCTACAGAAAATAAAATAAATTACATGAAATTGAAATGATTTTATTGAATCAAGGATAAGAAAGAAAATTATTGAGATTTTTGTCCTCCACAAATATCTCAAGGGTCTAATGTCCAAAATAAATAGGAAATTAACAGAAATAGATATGAGACCAAAAGCCAGGCCCCCGTAGAAGATAAATGGTCAAAGTATATGAGCAGGTTTCAAGTGAATTGGAAACTATTGAAATTAGAGAACTTAATAATTAAGAGTGCTCCACATTACCAATAAGAAATGCAAATTAAAACATCTCTGATCCTTGATCTCACCCAGAAAATTTGCAAAGATGGCAGAAGAGGGTAAAGGGAATAGGTCAACGCTGGAGGAACTGTGAGAAGACAGGCACACATACACTGGGAGCTGTGAATTAGGTAAGCCATTCTGGTAAGCAATTTGAAATTATGCTTAAAAGGTGCCTAAGATATCCATATACTTTGACCTAGAGAGATTCCACTACTAGGCATATATCCCAAAGAGATTAAGAAAAACCACCCCAAAACAGAAAAGATCCCATATGTGCCAAAATATTTATAGCAGTATTTATTATTACTATTTTTTTGGGGGGTGATATAGCAAAGACGGGGGTGGGGGTGAAGTAAAGTGTCAGTTCATTTCAGTAAGCATTAAGTGCCACCTATGTGCCCAGGCACTGTGCTAAGTGCTGGGGATATAAGTAAGAAAAATGCAGTCTCTGCCCTCAAGGAGCTTACAGTCTGCTTGGGGCATCTTGTTCTGGTTTTTCCTGTGTAGTTGAAACCAAGCAGAGCTACAAATGGATAAGTGGAAGGAGCTGAAAGTCCAAATCCTACCTTCTAGAAAGAAAACTTTGGGAGGATTGTATTGCTCTACCTACAGCCCTCCAATCAGAGGGGAATAGCTAAACAAAATCATAGCACATAAATACTTCAAAAAGAAATGGCAACATTTATATAGCACTTTAAAGTTTGTAATATACCTTACAAATATTTCATTTTATCCTCACCACAACCCTGAGAGATAGGTGTTAGTCTATCCATTTTTACTGATAAGGAAACTAAGGTAGACGGGTTAAGTGACTCGCTTAGTCACAGAGTTAGGAAGTCTCTACCCACTGCGCCACCTAGCTGCCTCTGAATGAACAGCTGCATGAAGAATGAACTGAAAACAATGTAAACAATGACCACAGCAATGGAAAATGGAAAGACCAATAAGATGAAGTTGAATGTTGTGTGATTGTGAGGTGGTGAGACACTATGGGTATGGAATGTTGGCTCTGCTGGCTGATGTATTGCTTAGTTTTACTGAACTGCATTTTTTTTTCCTCTTCTAATCTTTTTGCACAAAAAACTTTCATGGGGAAGGAAGTGAGAATGGAAAAGATGTATTTGGAAATGAATGTGAAGTTTTAAAAAGGCATCAATAAAGCAAGCAAAAATGATGATCTTTTCCCTCAGGAGCCTAGTTCTAGATAGGTACATAGAATACTAACACAAATAATACGATAGAAAATAACAAGATAGAATAGGCATATGGAGGGTACTTATGATTTCATTGGCACAGGGAACCTTCAGGTGAAAACACTTCTACCAGTGCAGGTTGGCACCTTATCTACAACTCAGTGTTTTAAGGATTTGCCCAGAGCACTGAGAAATGACTTGTGCATGGTTGTATAGTCAACATTTGTTGGAGACAGGACTTATATCCATGTCCTCCTGACTTTGAGGCTGGCTTTCTAAGCAATGTGCCATGTAGGACAGACTAAAACTATAAGTTTAGAGGGGAGAAAGATCAGAGAAGACTAAGGTAATCAAGGAAGGCTTTATGGAGGGGGTTAGACTTGAACTGGGATTTGAAGAATGGAGAATAGTGGAGTACTGTACAAGGAAGGGAGAGGGGGCAGGCATGCCAGGTAAGAGGAGAATGATACTAAGCAAAGACTTGGAGTTGGAAATTTGTAAGATGTATGTGGGAATTAAATTACCCTAAGACTAGTGAAGGGTACATGTCAATAATTAGGAGTAAGTTTGGAATAGTTGTAGGCTAGGATTTAGGGTTGGAAAAGACAATAGTGGTCAATTCAAAATTCTCATTCTACAGAGAAGGAAACAGTTCTGGAGGTGAAGTGATTTAACCACATGAATTCCAGAATTCTTGACACTCCACTACCACACATTGATATCCAAGTTGGGCTGGATGATGGAGGCCTTTAGAGCCAGGTAGATTAGTTGAGACTTAGTGAAAGAAATAGAAAGCCATTGGAAGTTTTTGAAAGGAATATAACAAGATGAAGTCTTTTTTAAAAAAAGAAGATGAATCTGGCAGTGATATAGAGGATGAACTGAAGGGGGAAAGACTAATTAGAGAGGCTAAATAGGAAAGTGTTGTAGTAATCTAGGTGTGATATGGAAACATGAAGTAAAGTGCTGGTAGTGGGAATGAGGGACAGATAGAATAGCCACTTGAAGGAATAATAGGCAGGATCAGTCTGAATATGGATGAGAATAAAAGGGGATGAAGTGATTTCAAAGTTATGAGTTTGGGTTACTGGGA